TGACATACACATCTCCTGGTGAACAGGTAAGTCTTTTGACAATGCCCTTTGCCTTAGTTTTAAATATGCCTGTTGATAGAGAACTTGACCTTTGACCTGCTTTCACGTTTCTGAGCTCTGACGAGATACCTTTTCACAATGCTTTACTTTTTCAAGRCCYRTGYTGCTTTATTTTTACAAGGCCTGAGGCCTATATCGGGTAAAGGCCCTTTTACATCCATAAATTAGTAGAAAAATCCTATTGGGAGGATGCACTCATCATTTCCCTTTTGGAACGGTTGACAGCCACTTATGTTTCTTTCGCACTAGTGAATTGTGCGAGCAGGCACGATCTAACGAAGTGGGCCTCGGTAATTGAGAAATATCCTGCCTGGCTTCTAGCTCAGGTTGCATTTCAACAGTTCATTGGTATGCCAACTGAGCTAGACTCCTTTTCAGGTGTGTCTCAAAGGCGCCGCCAGGAAATGGAAATGTCGATGCACCAGCTGCACACGGTTCTGGGCAGCCCGTACAGGCAATCGGAATTCGGCGCGTACACAGGTCTGATTATACAGGAATTCGCTCATGGGATTGGATGATGTCTTTTTGTCTGTGGTTGCAGCGTCTTGACTCCATACTATTCCGAGTCTGTTGCGTTATCTCAGAAAGAATTACAGAAGATGAATGAGGATGGCATCACCATAATTTTTTACTTGCAGAAGATCTATCCTGGTAAGCTGCTCTCCGATCGCCACTGGATCTTCACTTTAGGAAAATTGCTATTCCGTTGTACATCCCTGTTCAAACGCCTGGGTCTATACACCAGGTCTGACGATGCACTATGGAGTTTCGTATGTTTTGTGACAGACTCACAAGTGGTTTGTCTGTTGTGAGTTTTGTGACTTCATTGCAGCGAGTCTGTTGCTGTTCCCTCTGTTTGTGGACTGCGTATTGGCACCCCACTAGGGCGCAGTAACTGGCAGTTTGGGGAATGTGTAGATGTTTGGTCCCTGCCAGGTGCTTGACTGGTGCAGGTGTGTGGTCCCTGGCAGGTGCTTCACTGGTTTGGGTGCTTGCAGCGATTGCGGGTTAGGTGCACGTGAATTTTATCTGTCCTTTGGTGTTGGTATTCACTCACAAAGTTGGGATGCATGGTATGTTTTCACTGACCGGACGCTCTGACATACTGCTGTAATTGCCCTGTTTCATGCTGAAGTGCATTGTGAGCGATATCATCCGACTGATTGCCAACACTTTCTAAACCACCACCACCACCCCCGAGGTCGGAAATTCGGCTTTCCTGGCCATATGGACCGGGGTGCGGCGACCGGCAGGCACAGGTAGGTCAAGTGGTGGTTCAACACATTTTCCATTTTTGCCACTCGGACAGGTCAACTTCTGCGTTATTGTGCAAGGAACCCGACTGTTCATCACTTGCTGGAGTGCGTCAGATCACATGGATATAAACTGATTTCACAGATTGCGAAGTCTCACACAAAACTCAATAGAAGATAAATGAGAACCAGGAAGCTCAACTCAATTATCAAACCCAGAATTAGAGAGGGAACATCGTGAGTTCAAAGTGTATAGCGCTGAACAGAGTTACAAGTCTTCTTCGTTCAACATGAGTTCCAAGCTTGGCGCTCATCAGCGCCAGCTGCCAAATGTCAACAACAGCGCTCAACAGGTAAGTGTCACCGTAGCTCACACTTCCGCCTCTCTCGTCTGCTTTCTTCTCTCTCTCCCTCTATGTCTAAAGTCCTGGTCTACCCTCACTCATCATGCGTGCGCACTCCCTATCACACGAGGATCTACTTTGAATACTGATCACTGATATCTCCTGCTGACTATCCCTACTAACATACTAACTAGCACTGGTGCAGCTATGGCTGCCTTCCCTCTAGCCAGCACTCTCTTCCTTCCTACATAGCGCTGCTCTTCAGCCTAGCGCAGCTCACACACATCTAGCGCAGAAGTGCCACGGCACTTCCACACTCTCATGCGAAGTGAGCATCTGTCAAATGGGAGGCTGGCCGCAGATGAATGCCCAACAGTGAGGGGCCCTGTCGGCCAGAACTTAAATTCACGAGCTGCAACTCAAAAGACGAAGTTCCTGAGGTAAATGTTGCATCCATAATGATTGAAAAGTCATTTTGAAAGGTCACAAACAGGTCCTGAATGAACAGGTATTGAACACAATTTTTTTAGACGGAGGTACGGTCACATCTCCTCGATGAAAAGACATGTCTATTCAGCAACGAGTCAAAGGCTACAGTCCCAGTCCAGTCATAATCCCACGAGTCAGTCCTGGTTCAGACCAGGAGTCCAAAAGACAGGCGCGATGACCCAAAGCAGCAGCAGACCATGGGAAAAGATACTGGGACACACACTTTGCAACAATCGGTACTGGGCAGGAGTCCCAGGCACATTTGAGGCTGAATGCAGGCCACGCCAGACCAGTCCAGCACTATAACACAAAGCTCAGAGATATGAAGGCCGAGAACACAGTTCAGATGCAAACTCACTTCAACTTGGCTATGGCGTCTGGGCGCCTACACATCTCACTTCTGACACTGTATTCACTACAACTGTTCACACACACACCACGCTGGATCTCCCTGGATGTTCCACACACTCTCAACTCTATGTCACATGCACACACACACACACATGTACTACTAACTATCGCTAACTGGCAGCTATGGCCGCTGTCTACCAACTACCTACAAGCAGCAATGGCCACTCTATCTTCCTTGCAGCCCACTTCGACTTTGGGCATCTGCAGACCACCTCGCACAAGATGCTCAGGCAGCGCTTCCGCATGACGCACAGCAGAATGAATCCATAACTGGACGCTGCCTCTTGATTTGTACTTCTGTTGGCCGCTGGTCTGCTCGCTTTCCACTGGGCCCAGGGTGCACACAGTTCCACATGGTACCTGCTGACTGGACAAAGTGCGACTGGGACTGGGTACTGCTGACTTGACAAAGTTGGACTGCCCACTTGCCCACTTGCCTCAGTCCTACGCTGGGCAACACTAGAAAGGCCACTTCCGGACCTTCCGGAAGTCTGTGGACTTGGCCTTTCGGGACTGTAGCAGCTACGACCTTGACCTTTCAGGACTGTAGGAGCTACGACTCGACCTTTCAGACTTGCAACAACTACGGCCCCTACACAGCTATGACCCCTACTCGACAGACCTATGGTTCAAAACCCGACAGCTACTCAGACCTATGACAGACAGCAGACAGCTACCAAGACGCAGGTCACGGGTTCAAACACACAGGGGTCTACTTGTTACTGTACACAGGTAAGGTCGGGGTCTAGGGATTGAACCCTGGGATCTGCGTCCACTACTGCAAAGGCGAATACCGTTTCACAATTTGACTCATTTTCCATTTTTGCCACTCCGCCGATTCTCTCCACTGTGCTACCGGTAGTCCTCATGAACCTGTGCTAGTGGTGGTTTAATGCAGGCAACAAACTTCTGTGTTTCGTTGTGTTTTTTGTTTCTTGTTTTTTTTTTTTTTTTTTTTTTTTTCGGTTGTAGATTCCTCTGATGAGTCTGATCTATCGGTGGGAGCAGCACCAGCTGCAGACTGGGTCCAGCGTCCCACTTACAGAACAGGAGCTAATGAGAAATGATGGTAGCTGATAACAGACGAGCAGCATTGATTGCCCTCTCACGAGGGGTTTATCTTCCCATCAGTCGTAGAAGTAGAGTGACCATCAATCGTGCAATTAGACAGATTCCGTATGCCAGTACCTCAGCAAATAAGGGCGCAAGGCATTGATTACTTCCCCCAAGAGGAAGGATTGACCACACACCCGGGCACTGCTTGCCTAATTGCTTGGAACCGAGAGACAGGACCCCCACTCCCATCACCGAAGCGTCATCCCATGAAAGCACAGCAGGTCCCCCCCCATGTGCTGCCAAGGGAAATGTGCAGGTGCGCCACAAAGACAAATACACCGTAAAAGAGAGAAAGAATCTCCTAAACATCAAAATCTCCTGAGCATCAGCTAGGGCAACCTCCACGCACTGCGATAGAGTAAAAGGGAAATCAGCAGATGGCCAAAGTGTGTGAATCAGCGGGGAGAAATTTCTCCAGTTGGTGGATCAGACAGTGGAATTGGAGGCTAAGTTGCATGCTGCCACCCATGCAGAAAGCCAGCAGAGAGCCCGTAGAGAGAGCAGAGCAACCACCGCAGTCAAAGGCAAATGGGGAAAGGAAAGGAACTATTGGGGGAAGTAGCAGCACATCATCCCACGCTTTCCACCTGCAGTCGTTGTCATTGCGACAAACTACAAATCGTCAGCGGGGGGAGATTGACGCTCAAGCCCCCCCTCAGCTGCAAACGAGGGAGGTTTGTTATGAGTTATTGGTTTTGTTTTTTGGCTATGCGCAGGGAGGGAAAATCATAAAGACCATGGAGCCCTCCTTCCCACCAGTTCAATTGATGGTATCCCGGAAAAAGCGACTGGATAAACGAACAGCATCATCCTAATGCCTTCCACCTGCAGTCGTTGTCATTGCGACAAACTACAGATTGTCAGTGTGGGGAGATCGACGGTCAAGCCCCCTCCGCTGCGAACAAGGGAGATGTGTTGTGAGTTATTTGTTTTGTTTTTTTTGCTATGCTCAGGGAGGGAAAAATCATCAAGATCATGCAGCCCTCCTCCCCACTTTAACCACCAGTAAATGGCCCCAGGCAACTGGAGAACCTGTTTGTAGCCTCTCCAAAAATTTAGGAGGCCGAGCGCCATAGATAAAATGAATCGACGGCAGGCGGCCTCTGAAAGGGGCCCGCGGCCAATAGCCGGCGTGTATTGGTGCTTTAAGGAAGTAGATCAGTTGTGGTGTTGTCGTTTGTCAGTTGCACTCTCTGATGGGAAGCGTGGAGAGAAAACAGCAAGCGCCTCCATCGTCTCAACAAAAGGTTGGGGAGATGTCGGGGATTGTGTAGATTGATGTGGTTCGTGCAGGTGGAGGGAAAATTCATCCAGACCACATGGCCCTCCACCCACTGTGAGATAGGAAATCATTTGATCGAGTGTGTGTTTGTGAGTATGTGAACATATGACATGCGACGATGGCGTAGTGAGGATAAAATGATGAAAAAAAAAGAAAACATGGCACTTGATGGCGCCGGCAAAGAGATCACGCGGCGAATGATTCTTTTCCATCCGTGGTCCATTCTTGTAGATAGTTCTGGAAGGCTTTCTTTTCAACTTTTCTCAACAGCAGTTTATATATTTAGACTCTGGCATTGCAGATTGTTTACATTTATACCATAGTTGCTGCGCACCAGTGCGCAGTGCAGTGCGGGCCGGTGCGCATTGCGCTGTGCGCTGGAATGACAGCGCATGCACTCTGCGCCGTGCGCTGAGGGAGGTGCGCCCTGTGCACAAAAAAAAAAAAAAGAAAAAAAAGAAAAAAAAAGATGCCCCTGAGAGAGAGAGAGAGAGAGAGAGAGAGAGAGAGAGAGAGAGAGAGACCAAAGGGTCGCCTTCACTTCAATTCGAGGGCCCCTGCAGGTACCTCGAATGGCTCCTACAATATATGTGGAGTTATTGAGGACCACTGCTTCAACGAGAAGGATGGCCACGGCATATGTGGAAGACATGGGAGCAGACCGCCAATATATGCTTTGGGTTCGAGTTCAGGCTGTAGCTCGGCAGATATGGGTCACCAATTCAGCTAGACCCTGTTCGTGTCTCCACGTGATTCTCAAGGCCTCCCTCCACCACTCACCAAATCATATATATTGTGACGATATATATATATATATATATATATATATATATATATATATGTTTTAATTATTAAATGTATATGACATTAGTAGAATGAATCTTCTGCTAAAACATAGAACCATACACCACCGTATGCTATGTCTTTTGTGCATGTGGTGAGTAGTGGAGCAGGCCCCACTGTACGGATTCATAAGAAAACAAAAACAA